CCCCAAAACCCCAAAACCCCAAAACCCCAAAACCCCGGAATGTTAGATTTAAATAGAAACATATTATATAAATTATAGAAATAAGAGTAAATCATTCGATGAACGGGAATAAAATTTTACATCTCGATTCTTCTAAGATTAATATCATATCCAATCAAAATTTTATGAGTAGGGAGATCAAGCTACCCTTGAAACTTTCTGAAGAAGGGACTTTACAATATCCAGAGTTGTGTAAGCCAGATATATCTCAGTTGGAGTTGATTAGGAAGCAATATCAACCCAAAATAAATTATACCGACCTAACTCACTTGCCTTCTCCTGATTATAACAAAGAAGTAGATTCTTTATTGGCAAGTATTGATAAGTACAGCTCGATTCCTTCTATTCGATGGGATTCCTTGGGTCTAGAAGAGCTCTATATATCAATTTCTAAGGACAAAGTCACCAAAGCTCAAGCACATTCATCTGTCTCAAGCTCAGATTCCTTAAAATCCTCTACCATCACAAACTCATTTTTGCAGGCCCATAACCTTTTTAGCACCTCATTCGATATTTCAAAACAGTAAGTCCTCGTTCTTTGAACTTTCCAAAACTCCTCTTTGGTACTAATTTTTCACCTAATTCTGTTTGTGATTATTGCTTAAATTTCTTCACCTATTTCTTGACTTTAGCATATTTTTCAGCCCTAAAGACTCCAAAATAACATACTCGAGATCCAGGGGGCAGACAACCAAGATTACTTTTATGGTTCTATTTAATATCACCTATAATACTACCTAATCTCAGAAATCTCCTAGAACCTGTTACTATTAATACTTTTAGTACTGCAAACCTGCACTGCTCCAAGAACAAAATTACTTATTTGTGACAGTACGGAAACTGAACGAGGAAGTTTCATAAGACTCGAGTAATTTTTGGAGAGTTATAGTATAGAATTTTGTGGACCATGTCAGGATGCATTTGAAGATTAAGCCTTATCAGTGTACCCATTGTGGCAAGAAATTCACTCAGAAGGGGAATTGGAGAAGGCACTGTAAAAGACATTTAAGTTAAAGTTTTATAAAATTTCGAATTTTAGTCGTGTCGTTGCGATTATTTGGTTCAATTTTGTTAAAATAATTAAATCAAGCTCTACAGAATGTTTTCTCGAGTGTTTTGATAATTGAGTAGGAATTTATTTCAAGCTTCTCAGGATTAAGAAATCTCCCATATGTATTTCAAGAATTTGCTTATTTAAGTTCCTATATGAAAATCTTTGTCTTATCAGAAAAATAATTCGTTTTCAATCGTGACTCTCTTTCCTGGGGTTTTGGGGTTTTGGGGTTTTGGGG